CCACCGGCCAGGGGAACTTCGGCGGGGGCCACGGGCGCTTTGGCGGGGGAGGGGCCCCCTCCGGGGGGCGCTATCGCCGCGCGGTCTACGGCGGGAGCGGGCGCGGCGGCTACGGCCACTACCGCCGCCACCACACCGAGATCCACACCGGCCAGGACTTCAAGCCCGTCGCCGGCAACCGCAAGGAGGAGTTTAAGGAGGACTTCGACTTCGACAAGAGCCGCGAGGAGTTCGAGAAGAAGAAGGGCGAGTTCGAGAAGGTCAGGGAGGACATGAAGGGCCAAATTAAGGGATACTCCAAGTCCGGCGGCTTCTTCGACAACATCTCCAGTGATAGGAAAGATCGAAACCAAATCCGTACCGATCGGGAGCAAATGAAGAGGGCGGATGCCGAGACTTTCGGAACTGATATGGTAGGAAGCATGCGAGGCTACCGCCGAGGGCGAGACGGTCGTGGACGCTACCACAGCTATTGAAGGTGAGCACTACCATACACATGCACACATACACATACATACACATGCACATACTGCAAGAGGGAGACCAAGACCGATACCTAAACGAAAGAAAGGGAGAGGATAGTGATAAACAACAATAGGGAAATGAAAACAGGGGATTTTAAATGCGATTTCCTCTCCCCCCTCCTTCCTCCCCGTCCCTTTCCTTACCCCTCAATAGAGAATTTTTTTAATTATCAACGACTACTGCAAGAGCCTAATCTTCAAAGTGTTATGTGCACCCTAAAGAGTCATGAAGTGGGGTTGATGCATCTTTTCCATTGACTATTAAAGATAAAGGATCGTAATGCACGGCACTAAAATTCATTAGATTTCTTCAATTTAATCATTTAAAAGGTGGGAAGTGAGCCACAAATTCACTACCATCAATTTTTATTTATTATTGTTATTGCATATTTAAAAAAAAGTGTAGTTTTTTATGTTTATTTATTTATTTCAAATATCACCTATTTTAACAGTCTATCGCTTCATTGTGATGTAGAGGAACACTTGTTATTGTGTTTAAGAGAGCGTTTCTGGGGAATGAGCTTTCCCTTGTCTCTACAAGGGCAAAATCGTTCCAAAGGGAGCCATAAAAAAACAAAGCATCATTATTGAGGTTCTTAAAAAGTGCGCATGAAGGTAGGAAGGGAAAAGTCAGATTGAAATGTGTACGAATATATTTAGAAATTTTATACACATGTATATGTATGTATGTGTGTGTGTGTGTGTGTGTGTGTGGTGTAAAATGATCTAGAGTTCTCATTGTTTTGAAATTATCAAAATATAAATAAGTCAACGATCTGCTCTTCCTTCAATTTTGAGGTCATTATGTAAGTGTGTGTATGTGTCTATATAGCCCATGATTTTTGTTTTCCCTTTGGGATATGATATATATATTTTCAGAGTCAAAAAGAACGATGATTTATAATGCAAAGAGAGAAAATTTCAAGGAGTGTCTAAATACACAGAGAGAAGCTATCTTCGCAGTGGTTCACGAAAAATAAATGGTAAAAAAGAACACTGAAAAGAATTCATATCTTGCTCTCTACTATTATTATTTACTTATATATTTTCATGTGCCATGGGTACAAAAAAAATCGCATCTTCAGAGAACTTCTCTTCCCTGATTTTGACTTACTTCTGCCTAAAACATGTCAAGAAAGCTTATCACAGGACGTGTCGTATTTTTCCGTTTTTCATCTGTGTGTGCGTGTGTTCGTTTAAGCCATTATTATTATTATTTTCTTCCTATCTTTTTATCGGAATTTTTAGTTAATGAAAATATTTCCTTAACCTTCCTATTTGAATAATACACTTTGTTACTTCAAACTGAGAAACTTGGCCTTGGGAAAGGTAATCCTAAAAAATTTCTAAATATAATGAAAGGGGGAGAAAAAAAGAAAAACAAACACAACGCAATCTGTGATTCCGAACGATTGTTTTATTTGCGTTTCATATATTTATATCTAGTCAACTGTCTATTTATAAATCTTCCTATATTTTCTCACTTATCGTTACAATGTCTTAAACGACACATGCTATTGGGAACGAATTCAATTTTTTATTTGAAATTCCCAGTACGCTACGTACGAATTGACAATACAACCTGTTGAGAAAGCTAAAAATGATACAAACTTTGACTCAATCGGTGGATAAGAATTAAGAGGAAAATCTGTGAAGGAAATTGCAATGTCAGGTGATATATATATATATATATATATTATACAATCTAATCTGTCTACATTATTTTGAAGATTTAAGGGCACAGACTATTTATTACAGCCTTAATGATTAAAGTTCCTTGTGAAATTGACGTGCACCTCCTGTATAGCTTAATCTTATTACTCTACCTAATTATTTTAGTTTATTGCTAAGACGAGTGACTAAATGCTTTAAAACGGCATGTTGGGATTTGGGTTTCTTGTTTTATTTATATTCCTTAGTAGTGCGGTAAAATGTGTTTACATCGCGTTTTTTCACCATGCTTACTTTTTTGTCCTAAAGCGCGTCAATTAGAGAGGTTTGACGAAAAAAAAGAATAATAAACTTACGACAAAGAAGCAAGATAATCTTTCCGCTCATATTTTTCCGCTTTAACATGCATGAAGACTAATATATATATTGTCGCTTTTGGTTTATTATACGTTTTTGTAGATTCTTTTTCGCTATTAAAACGGTTCGTTTGAGTCGAACAGAAAGTTATCATTCCAGCATGGAAAAAAAACAGCAAAATGAAAATCAGCAATAATCACGCACACTCCAAAAAGGAGAACTAATAAAATATTATGAGTTCACAAGCCCCTTATTAATATATAAATATGAGTTATGTATGTTTTTTTGTCTTGTTTTAAGTGTCAGGTTTGGGAAACGTACGATAGTACGGAGTAGGAAAAAGATTCGCACGATTGCATCCACAGGATTATTTTCCATTCTATGCGTGCTTCATTTTTTGAAATAAAAAGAATGTGAAAATATCCTTTGTAGGGTATTGATTCCCCCCCTTAAAGCTAAACAGAGAGGGAATCTGTCCTAAGTATGATGCGCTAATTAACATTATTATCAACAATGATGCTGTCGATGCGACTTTTTTGATTATTCTTTTTCTTTTACTTCCTCATCAAGCTACACCTTTGAGGTACTTTTTTCATATCTTAATGATAAAAGTTGAGAGTTGTTTCTTAGGATAATACACGGTATACTGGGTATCTAATAAATAAATAAAAATAAACTATATATCAAAGAGAGGATGGAGAACCCATTACTTGATGCTGTCTTGGCATTTATCTGAAAATTTTTTCTAATGGGATGAGAAGCGGGAAAAGTATCTAATATGGTGAAAAAAATGGAGTCAAAGCCATGGTAATTGAAATTATAAGCGGAAAATTAACATATACGTTACGTGATATAGAAAGTTGGGGGCGATTTTGTTTATGAAAGAATGCCTTGCTTTTCTTTTTGTGTTGAAATGATGTTTATTTAATTGTCACTAAAAAAAAAAGGTGACCAAATGCAAGTATACGCACCTTACATTTGCTTCTGATAACAGCGACTGAAAAGGCTGACTAAATGGAGGTAAAGGGGCAAGGGATGGCTTTCCCCTCTCCAGTTCTTTTTAGATGTACCGCAGAAATTATATCGCTTCTTTTTGCAAACTTATCTTTATTTAACAAAAAATGTACTCAATTTTAGACTCTTATGTAAGGGCTTAATAATATAAGTAAAAGGTATAGATGATCCCCCAAAGAGGATAAAATGAACTGTAATGAGGAATGATCTTGCAGCGCATGTTCTCTTTTACTTTCAGGAATACACTTTAATTGGCATGATTTTCCCTACCCCCTCAAACTGTTGTAAGTTAAAGGATATCATGATCCTGGCAGAAGGGTTTGGCGACCCTATTTATTGGGTAACATCAGTTTGACATGGATGAAGCTTCCTTTTTGTAAATTGGGATCATCGTTTCTGAGATACTGCTCGAGGGGGGAGATAATTTTTTATAGAAAGACCCTTTTTCTGTCTCTTTTATTTCGCAGTATCCTTTATGGTTTACAGGTGAACGTGCCCACGAAAAAGGTCTCTTAAGGTTGAAGAGAGCCAATCGATCTTCTCGATCATTCTTTGTGTACTATAAGTGGGAAGGAGATTCCATTGTAGTCAACAGGGAAAATGTAGCATCTACCTTCTCATGGTTTTTATTTCCTTCCTCCCTCCCCCCTTTTCCCCTTCCTTTCCCTTTTTCTTTTTTTCCTATCCCTAAATTTCCACACTTACATGAGGTCTATAGTCGAAAAAAAGGCTGAAAGCGAATTAGTAGCCGGTGCTGGGGGGTTGGAGTTTTTTTTTATTCTAAAAAAAGAAACCCCTATCGTATCGTTTGAGATTAGAGACGTAGTTTAAATGGGCAAACACACACTGATACAGACACCGACTGACACTGACACAGATACTGATAAACACTGATTGACACTGACACGGACTGACACTGACACAGATATTGACAAACACGGACTGACACAGACGCCTTTCCGTTCTTCATTGTTGCTTTTGTATTTTGTGTAGTTTGTCACACGTACGTGGCGTCTTAACCCTTGGCTCATGCGTGTTGTCTTGGGCCTTGGGGGACTATGGCTGGGGTTGGGGCGGGTTATGGGCTTGCCCAGGGCGCCAGGGATGAGGCGATGGGCCTCGGTTCTGCAGCCGCGGGCGGATTTCGGCCCGACTTCACCTGCCCAGCGGCCAAAGCCGTCTCTGACCAACACCCTCTACGTCGTCGAGCCCGCTCAGCGGCTGGGGTCCTTTCGGCGCTATCTAGGGCTCGCAAAGGTTGAGGTGCCCTTTATCGCGGGGGCTGTTATTGGCGTGGCGCTTTATAGCGCGATGACATTGGCTATTCCCGCGGGATTTGGTATGCTAATCGATTACGCAAGCAAAGGGGAGATGCCTTTGGGGACCTCAATGCAGCTGCTTGGTTGCTTTGTCTTGGCGGCGGCAGGGAAGCTAACGGGGGTGTGGTGTATTGGGTACGCAGGGGAGCGGATTATTTCCAATCTTCGCACTAGGCTTTACGCCTCCATTCTTCGACAACCGGCGCATTTTTTCGATTTACCGGAAAATAGAACGGGATCACTTCTTCAGCGGTTATCGATGGATTGTAGTTCGGTCGGCGGCTCGCTTACTCAAGCAGCAACGAATGGGAGTATGAGCCTTATTCTGACAATGGGGAGTGTTGGCATCATGCTTTACTTCTCACCGTTACTGACGTCAATGATTTTGTGTCTAATTCCGCCGATTGCGGTGTTTGCTGGGGGCTACGGCCGCACCGTGCGGAGACTTCAGCGTTCGATTTATGACGCCATTGCAAGTATGGGGTCGGCCGCCGAGGATCGTCTTTCGGCTATTCGCACGATAAAAACCCTCACGGCGGAGGAGAGGGAAAAAATATGGTTTTCAACCAAAGTCCAGCGTGTGTTTGAGCGGAGTTTACTCCTATTAAAGTGGCGAGCGGCGTACGAATCATTCCTGCAGTTAGCGGGGTATGGCGCCGGGTACTGCATTTTATGGGCGGGCTCTTTGCTCATTGCTTCTGGCAGCCTCACTCCTGGCGTGCTTTTTTCGTTTATGCTCTACACGCTTTACTGCGGGACGGGCCTAATTGGGCTTGCGAACATTGTAATTGATCTGAACAAAGGCTACGGCGCCTCTTTACGCGTTTTTGAGATTATTGAAGACGCAGAGGGGGAGGAAAAGACGCGGACCACCACGCCGCAGCTTACTCCCTCGCTTACGGATTGGACAGTGGACTTTAAAGACATTTCATTTGCTTACCCAACGAGGTCGGAGGCGTTGGTTTATCGTGGACTTAACCTAACCGTTCACCCTGCGCGTTCTACCTGCATAGTGGGGAGTAGCGGGTGTGGGAAGTCGTCGTTGGCGCTTCTTCTGCTGAAGCTGTTTGAACCTATTGGAGGAGTGATCACTCTAGGCGGGCATAATCTTGCCGATATTGATGACGTTTGGCTTCGCCAAAAAATTGGCTATATTGGACAAGATATCGCGCTTTTCGACGGCACCATTGCGCAAAATATCGCGTATGGCTTTACTTCATATAATTGGGGGGATCCAATCGATCGATGGCTATATTCTGTCGTTGTCGACGCTGCGGTGAAGGCGAACGCGCACGATTTCATCTCCGCGCTGCCGGAGGGCTACGACACCTTCGTCGGCGAGAGTGGTCGGAGCTTATCGGCAGGAGAAAAGCAACGCATTGCAATTGCGCGCGCCCTTGTCTGCAATCCGTATATTTTGATTTTGGACGAAGCGACCTCGGCGTTGGACAGCGAAAGTGAGGAAGTTGTGCATGACGCCATCATAAAGCTCATTCAGGAGTCTAAGAATCACACTGGTAAACACGAGCTGACGGTTTTGATGTTCGCACACAAGCTGAGTGCAGTTAGCAAGGCGGATCATATCGTGGTTTTGCATAACGGCACTGTCGCCGTCGAGGGTGGATTCGAGGAGGTCTACAAGAATGAGATTTTCCGTAGTTTGATGGGCTTGGAGGACTTGAATCGACTTAAAAAATCGTAGGTAATAAATGATTATCTTATAGCTATTTATCTATACATGTGTCTGTGAAAGTGCCATGAATTGAGTAGCTACAGGAGTTTGTGGAAAGTGTATTTTCTTTGTACCTTTAACACTTCACTAAATAATGGAATCTTTTTTTTTTATTTCTATTTATTTGTGTAATGATATATTTATACAATACATTTTTCTTTGATTATCGTTAAGAGATGTGTGCGGTAAGCAACCGCGCAGGCAAAGTCTGAAATGGAGTTCTGGTGTGAATATATGTCTTTAGTAGTCCTGTTTTCTACACCCCAATGTGTGAAAAATAATATACCGAAGGATGCTAAGCACATTTTTTTTTGAGTGTTTTATAAGTTTAATATGCCCTTAGACATCCATATTTTTTTCATGCTCTGAATTATTTTTTGCAGTTTATCATCCTATATGGATGCTTCTTTGTCATTGTTTTCCTTCGAGTTCGATACCTTTTTCTAACCTTTTTATGTTTTTGTAAACTTTATTGAACCTACCTCTTTCATCGTTGTCTTTTATTCACCCTTTTTTATAATATAAACAAGAATTTCTAAAATTCATATTAATTTTCCCCCCCCCCCCCTCCCCCCCTCCCTGAGATAGCAAAGCTGCAATCACTTTAGATGCATGCCACGTCGAGCGTAACCTCTACGCCGCCCGCGTACTCCCCACAGCCAGTGTTCTCCCCGCAGCCGGTGCTTCTTGAGGAGAATTCTGATCCTGAGGCGCTTTGCAATCTTATTGTAAACTATTTACCTCCTCTCATGGATGAAGGACAGCTTTTCCAGCTTTTCTCTCAGTTTGGCCCGATTGAATCGATTAAAATAATTTATGATCGCGACACTCATGAAAGTCGAGGCTACGGCTTTGTACGGTTTCGTTTTTTCTTTTCTGCGACCTACGCGATTTCTTGTTTGAATCGCTTTCAAATTGCGGGAAAGCGGCTGAAGGTGGCCTACGCGAATGTTGCCTCGGCTAAGGAAAGTTTTAACACTTTAAAAGATAGGTTAACACAGTTCACAACGGAGCAGAAAGTGTCGCTCCGGACGATGTATTATAACCAAACGTTAATGGCTGAACAACAACAACGAGAAATAGGCTCAACAGAGGGTCAAAGTAAGGGATTAATTAGTAATGACTCTCTTAGTATTGTTGAAGGAGAATGAAAAAGGTGTAATAAAAAAAATTGAGATGAATTCAGAGAAGGATAAGGTGAGGAGAGAAAGGGAAACATTTTTTAAATAGGAATGCCAATCTCTAATGGACATTTCCATAATTGGTTTGTGGTACTTGAAGGTATCTTTGCCTGTGTGGTTGATATGTCGTCAATTGGATTTCTTTATTTACTGTGTGCGTTTAAGTCAGGTTGCATTCATAAGATTTGCCAATTCATTCATTTGAATATTTTTTTGGGTACTTTTCATGTCTTTATAAAAGTGAAAGCTTCTGTATCGCAGTTTATAAACGTATGGAATACTCTATTTTCCTTTTAAGACTTAAGTACCCAAATGGTGTTCTACTAAAACAAAAGAAATGATAAATGTGTTGATTTTTTTTGTGCACTATTTCCTTTAAAATCCTTTTTGGCACAGCACATTAATCTTTTTTTATGACATATATATTTCTGTACCCTGCTGTAGGTTCATTGTTAACCACTTAAATATAAAAGGGTTTATTAGTATCCTTAGACCCATTTTTTTGAATCTCCCTTTACTTTTATGAGTGTCATCTAATGGAACCGGATGCTTTTGTCAGACACCTTGACCTCCAAAACTACCTCTCTGGCCTCTGCACGAGCACCGCAGCTTCCGATCCCGCCTCCACGAGGGGTCTTACCTTGGAGGAGCTTGCGCAAAGATGCCTGCACGCTGCCATCTCGCTGGAGCCTTCATCATGCTTCTTTTTTTCTCTTTTTAGTAGCCCGCTAAAGGAGAAGACCACCAAAAAAATCGACGCTGTGGTTGATGCTCTTGAGGGAGTCGCGTGGAGCTACGAACAGGCGTTTCTTCTCGGCGAAGCTGCTGAGGATTCATTGCGTCGTGGATGTCGACCTCATATATGCGGGTGGGACGCTATTTCTAACTTTCAAGAGGGCTGCACCTCGACCTTCTGCGTGATCGCGGCAATTTTGCATCAACACCGGTCCTTACCGCATCCTTCAAAACCTTCTTTTTCGCTATACTACCTTCTCGCGAGCACGATTCACTGTGGAGTGCGTATTATTCATGCCCTTAGCGTCTACGTAAAGGGGGACCCGCATGGGAAAGAAACACAGAATAATGACAAAGACCCCAGTCATTTTATGCCAGCGAAAGAGGCGATCTCTTCCGAAAAGAATACCTCTTCCTCAGAGGCGGATGAGATCATCTATGAAGGCAATGCGGATGGTGAGAACATTGAGAAAGATTTATATCTGCGCTATGCCGCGCGTGCCGCTCTTGCAGAGGGCGGCTCCTCCTTTCTCACCGCTCTTCTGCATTTGTTGGCGGACTTGACGCCGGCACCGGACGAGCGCGTCTTCTCCGAGATGCTTTGGGTTGCCGCCCAGTTTAGCCTTCGCCGGATGGGGCCGTTTTTGTATCGTTTCCTCCCCCCTCCTCCAGACCTCAGGGGGGAAAAGGGGGGAGGGTCCTCTTCCCCCCCACGGCGGGCCTTGACGTGTTGGACGGACCCGCAGCTCCTGACCTGGGTGGGGGCGCACCTCCAACCCCCGGGACCCGCGCCGGGGGAACAAG